GATAGATAGATAGATAGATAGATAGATAGATAGATAGATAGATAGATAGATAGATAGATAGATAGATAGTCGTTGATTTACGATTGAGCCCAATATTTCTGTTGCTAAATGAAACATTTGTTAAGTGAATTTTGCCCCATTTTACGACCTTTCAAGCCAGTTCTTAAGTGAATTATTAACTTAGTAATAGTTATTAAATGAATCTGGCTTCCCTATTGATTTTGCTTGTAAGAAGGTACAAAAGTTGATCACATGACTCCCAGGAATCTGCAACCGTCATAAATATGAATCATTTCCAAAGGGTCCGAATTTTGATCATGTGACCATGGGAATGTTGCAATGGTCATAAGTGTGAAAAATGGTCATAAGCCACATTTTTGGTGCCTTTGTAATTGTGAACAGTCACTAAATGAACTGTTGTAAGTCGAGGCTTCCTTGTATATGTAGATCTATATATAATGCAACTAAAATATTCAAAATCAGTAAAACAAACTGGCCATTAGAGTCTCAGATTTTAAAAGGAATGAAAATAGTAAAGAAAGAAATTGATTAATGTAAATGAGGGAACAAAGGTGCCCAGAGGATCTATTTGGTGTACTCAGAAGAAGACAAAATGCAAATTAGAAATCCGTTGAATAAACTGGTGGTTGTGAATAGATAACAACCAAACTGTATTTCATTAAGATTTGCTCAGGATTGTTTTTTTTAATCAGATGTTAAGAATCTATTTATTCTAGTGAACAGATGGTCCTTCTGTCAGACCTCTAACGATTGGGAGAAGAAGCTGGAAGCAGCCAAGCAAAAGAAGAGGGGAGGAATTTGGAAAGCAGAACAGTGATCAAATCCAGAATCTCTCAGTAGGTGGACTTCAATTCCCAGAACTCCCCAGTGGTTGAGGTTGAGAAATGGAGAAAAAACAAAGAAGACATTCAGTACCTTCTGGTCTGTGCCTTCTTTTACTTTATGTCATTTCATTCATGTGTGAGGGATGATGTATGAATGTATTTTTAAAATGACTATGATAATGATCCATCATTGTTACTGTATGTACACTGGGAGCTTATGCACACGAGACAAATTCCTTTGACACTTGGTCAATAAAGTAAAAGTAAATGTTCCACACGCACATATGTGCTAGTCATTCCCGACTCTAGGGGGCGGTGCTCATCTCCATTTCAAAACCAAAGAGCCAGCGCTGTCCAAAGATGTCTCCGTGGTTATGTGGCTGGCATGACTGAACACCGAAGGTGCACGGAACCCTGTTACCTTCCCACCAAAGATGGTTCCTATTTTTTCTACTTGCATTTTTACATGCTTTCGAACTGTTAGGTTGGCAGGAGCTGGGACAAGTAACGGCTCACTCTGTTACGCGGCGCTAGGGATTCGAACCGCCGACCTTTCTGATCGACAAGCTCAGCATTTTAGCCACTGAGCTACAGCGTCCCTTGGCTTATAAATAATTCTAATTCTAATTCTAATTCTAATGCAAGGCTGCAGATCTTGGTTCCAAAAGCAATGGGGGGTGGGGGGACACTAGGTAACCTCAAAGAGATTCTAATGTGTTTGGGTGATCCTACTCAGGACTCAGGAAGTTGTGCAAAATTGGGAGGGTCATGGGTTTTGCAAGAAAGAGAAATGGCCCAAACACCATTTTTGTTTCCAAGAGATAATGATGATGTTCGTGTTCGAAGAGGACTTTGACATCTAGCGGATTGTGGACTGTCCATGGTGTGTCCGCAGGTGGCTGGTAAGGCCTATATGGGCACAAAATGTTCTGCCACATGTCAGGCAGACATGTGTGGGCACCATTGTTGCAGCATTTGCAGCTCTGGCTTTGCAGAGTGTTCACGCCTCTTGTGCTGTGGTTGTCCTTCTGTCCTCAGATGTCTGGCAGCCTTGGTGGATCAGCATGCGTCATGTGGATCGATCTTGTGCCAGGGTTTCCCAGGAGGTGGTGTCGATATCCAGGGACTTGAAGGAGGCTTTCAACGTGTCTTTGTATCACTTCCTTCCTGTCCCCCGTGCGATCGCTTTCCTTGAGACAGCTCACCATAGAGGAACTGTTTAGGGACACGGTGGTCTGGCATCCTTGCAACATGGCCTGCCCAGCGTGTCTGGGCTTTCATCAGCAGGGTGTGAATGGATGGCAGGCCTGCTCTGGAAGGACTTCCATGTCTGGCACCTTGTCCTGCCACTGGATCTTCAGACGTCTGGGGAGGTAGGTAGCAGGGAAGTGGTTCAATTGCCTAGCGTGCCTCCTGTATACAGTCCAAGTCTCACTGCCATACATCAGGGGAGTTAGCACTACTGCTCGGTAGACTTTGAGCTTTGTAGCAAAGCTTATTCCACAGCGGTCAGTAGTCCGCCAAATGCAGAGCTTGCCTTGGTGATTCTGCAGTTGACCTCGATGTCAATTGTCACC